TAAGTAACAAAATTTGTAATATGGGAACATTTATTAAATTAAATTGTGTCTGATCATTGGGGATTAATAAAAAACAACCTTTAAAATTAAAATATTTTATTTTTCGTTAATTTACAACAAATGTTCAAATTGTTTGCCTGACACTCTTATGCATGCCCTACATCTTCGGATAAACGATCTTCTAAGCAGTCTAGTGTACCGTCGCTCGCATATTTTTGATGCGGCTTCTCTGACACGACTGCGTAGTTCGTCCAAAGACCGCACGGGCTTACAGTATCCTCAGCTTCCTCTTTCAGACAGCCCCAGTAAAAAAATCCAATGGATTTAGATCCAGTGAACGTGTAGGCCACAAAATTGGCCCTAGACGTCCGATCCATCTATTTGGGTATCTGCTATTTAAATATGCACGAACCGGAACAGCATAATGCGCAGGACAACCGTCATTTTGCAGCCAATAGGATTCCCTCAGCTCCTCGGGAACCTCTTGTAATAAATTGGGGAGATCATTTTGAAGAAACTCCAAATAACTTTGCCCCGTTAAATTCCCCCGGTAATTCAAATGGGCCAATTATCATACCATTTAATATTCCGGTCCAATAATTTATTTTAAATTGGTATTGTGACCTGTCTTCACGCATAAGATGGGGATTTCCTAGTTCCCAACTATGTAAATTGTGTAAATTTAAGTAACCGTCTCTTTTAAGCGTTGACTCATCGCTCCACAAAATTTTATTAAAAAATTGCGGGTCTTCTTCCATCTTTGCCAGCATTTGCCGGCAAAAACGCACTCTTGAGAGATAATCTCTTGGTTGGAGAGTTTGCACGCGTGTAACGTGGTAAGGGTGGAATTCGTTTTTCTTTAAAATATCGTGTACGGTCGATTTTCCAATACCTGTGCGTCGAGCTATTGCTCGCGTAGAGGTTGAAGGATAGTTTTCAATATCCTCAAGCACCACGTCTTCTACATCAGGACGAGCGATTCTTCCAGCGCTAGCACCACCGACACCACTACCCGGCATTCTTCCTTCAGAGTAACAACCGTGGACTCTTATAAATACACGCCAGTCTGGGTGGCGAGCATTAGGGTACCTTTCCCTATAAAGAGCTGCGGCTGCATTTGCGTTGCCTCTGCATTCTCCATAAATAAAATGCATGTTTGCATATTCTTGTACCGTGTACTGATGACGTGGCATTTTGATAGGTACACAAAAGTCCAGTTTAGTCCAGAAACAAGCCAAATCGTCGCAAATATCACCAAACGCAAAACAAGTCCAAATCAATAAGAAAAACAAATAGTCCGGTAAAATAGCCAAGTGGTCGTTTTAACACTGATTTAAATAATTGCAAAGGAGACAAAATAAATACATGCGAAGTCGAGCAGGTCGTGTGACGCACTAAGTTCTCTTTTACATTTAGCTTTTCTCTCTCCCACTTACCCAATTCAGACCTCTCTTTGTCTAACACAAAAGGCAGCAGGTAGCAAATATGTATGAAGGTCATACGACCCATTTCACGCTAGTAAAGTAACCATTTCAAGATTTAAATTGGTTATTTTATTACATTTAAATAAGTTAATTTCTAATACTTAATTTGGTTTCAATTTGTTTAAAAATAGCTGTTTTCATGTATGATCAACTCCTGATGTGTTTTTATTAATTCCTAATGATCAGAGACAATTCAATTTAAAAAATGTTCCCATATTACAAATTTTGTTACTTAGTCAAATTTTCTCCTTTTCTACATTAATGGCAATAAGTCACTATTTATGGAAGATACATTTATGAATTATACCATTATAAAATCTACACGAAACCGATATTATTGTAAAATTATTGGTCACCCATACATTCATACATTTTTTTCATACCCAAGAGGTTTGAACTTCGCTTAAATAATATTTTTTGCATGTTTTTCAGAAATAAATTGATTTGCGAATTTTTTAAATAAAAACTGCAAAAGCTATTCATATTGTTTACATTTTACCTATAAGCACAGTTAGTGTATAATAATAATATAACAAAAAACCAATAGAAATCATTAATTTTTGGTCATAGTGTTCAAGACAGTAAAATAAGATAGAAAAGCATCGACTTTTCTTAAAAAAAAATATATCAAAGGTACTACTTGTGATATATTATTTTTCGTATTTTTTTCAGGACGGCCATAAGTTGTACTATAAGACATTTCAAGGTTATCCATTCATTACCGGACAGCCTGTATATCTCGTACAAATTATGAACTTCCCCGCTATGAAATTTGTCAAATATTACACCTTAGGGCTGCCGCTCTGGTGGCAGAAAAATCGTGGATGCCCTCAGGTTGTTAATTTGCCTACCTACGCGATATTTTATCAATTATTATTATTATTAATATTGAATTGATTATGATTATATTAATTAATATTGAAGGCTACCATGACTTATTCTGCCACCAGGGTGGTGCCACTTTACAATAAAGTGAAATATTTGAGAGATTTCATAGCAAGGAAGATAATTTTTTAGGAAAATGTAAATATTAATGTTTATTTCCGTATTATTAGTTATATTTTATATTCATTAAATAAAAAGTAAACCAAACAACCGATGTTCTTAAAAATAGAAAAAAGGAGTTAAAAATGTGTACATAATTAAAGAGCAAATCAATGGGCATTGATTGCTCTTTAATTATGTACACATTTTGAGTATTAATATAATACTTAAGAAACTGATAAAGTTTTATTTAACACTAACTTTACAATTAAATGATGTAGTGTAACAAAAAAAATACGTCAGTCACAACTAGCGACATCTAGTAAGTGGAAGATTATGAGCTCATCTTGAGCATGTGATATTTAATTATTTATTAGTACTCTCAAATGTCTAAAATTTGTCACTCTATAAAAATAAAAAAGCCTTCGGTGCGGCTAATGTATCATTATTTTATATATACATTATCTTTATTTTGCAACCGAAGGATAGTATGAGCCGGCGAACGCGTCTGGGCTAGAGATGTATCTAACGTAAAGACAAGCAATCCCTTTTACAAATAAATATCGTAATCGATTAGTTTTATTTAGAATTAACTGAATTTAGTGTATAATACGGTATTTAACAAAATAAATTTCTAAGATAATGACTACCAAATTAAAATTTGTCGTTAATAAATAAGTTATTTGTTTGTCTGGCAATAATAATTTCTTCTAGAGTGAGCCTATTTTCAGGGCGGCCGCGATTCATCGGCCGTATTATACTTTAGAGAAATATAAAGAATAAAATAATTTTCACTTAATAGCTTCTAAAACAAAAAACAAGACAATATTGACCACAAAATATTTCAGCAAGTGATATAATATAGTAGAGAAGTAGTGAAAATTGTAAAGGCGATTCGTATTCGAAGACTGTTTTGTGTTCTGCGAAAATATAATCATTTTACGATCTTAGTCAAAACAATTTTCATCAGCAGTATTTGAATTGTCTGTAGCGATTTTTACTGCCTCTAGCTACGTAGTTGGGGTCGGTAGACATGATAATCGATGGCTTCGCTACCAAGTAAGTTTCAGTTAAGCCGCGTTTTCACTTTATGAGTACTCTCGGACCGAGTGCGTTCATACGAGCTAGATCGTATAGGAATCTACTCTGAACTTGATTGACACGTTATGAGTTCATCATCGTCAAAGTAGCATTTATTTTTGTTTCTTTGTACGCGATGACGACTGATCAACTGCTGCGAGGTATAGAAGTTGTGGCAGATATGGTAATCACTGAAATTCAAAATCATGAAAAGAAAAAAATCAAAGCAAGCGAAAAATATTGACCCGGAACTGTACTGTTTTATGGATGTGACGAACTAGATGCTTCACATAATTTTATTCGAGAAGTGGAAGAGAAAGATAAAACCACTTTTAGAAATCATTTGAGATTTAAAACAGCGAACAATTTGAGTATGTGCTAAAAAAGTAACACCAAGAATACGGAAATCAGATACCCATTTGAGGAAAGCAATACCTGATAGAGTTAAACTTATAAATTGTATTAAGATATCTAGCTACATGTGACAGTTTTCGTACCCTAGAAAGTCACTTTCGAGTACCGAAATTCTCCACTGTTTTACCTTCGGTATTAGATGCTCTTTATGATTCATTAGAGAAATTTAAAAATTTCGGGTATCTTTGTTTTTATATTCAGGTAATTTCACGTTCTACAACACTTCTTCCGCTTTATACAGTTTCACAAACCTCAGAGTAACATGTTCGTTCCACTTTTTTTAGTTGGCGCCATTTTGTCACCACAAAATTATCCGAGTTTACTCGTAAAAATAGAACCTCATCCGACTCTACTCTGATCGGATGACGTTGTCCGAGTACGCTCGTATTACGTGTTTACACACTACGATTAGCGTCCGAGAAGGCATCCGAGTACACTCGGTCCGAGAGTACTTACTTAATACTTAATCATGTGGATTAATTAGCTAACCAAAATAGTATTTTGTGACAGTTAAAAAGTTATTGAGATTATTCACAATCAGTGCCTCTGTGTAAAATCATATTGTTTTGTTGTTAATGTTTTTAATACTTTTACTGTCCAGTTTCCAGACACAAAAGTAAGACAATAGCGATGTACCATATTACCTATATGTGGCTCACGGGACAGTGAATGGAAACTGTTAATTTGATTTAAAGGAATTCCAAATTATTCATTTTTCATCCTCTTATTTAATAAATAATTTAAGTTGTACTACTGATTTCAATTTTTTCAAATGGAATCTGGTGTAGAATGAATGTTTAGAGAAATATTTTATTATCTGTATCGTATTGTCTGTACAAATCCCGTTATTTTTAACCTTTATGAAATGAGCCGCTATTTTCATTTTTTTTATTGGTAACATCGTCTGTGTTGATGTGTCGTGATTGTCCAATAAAAATTACCAATATTTTGGATTTGATGAAAGAAAAACAGCAATTTTTAAATAACTTTCCTTATTTATATACGATAATAAACATTCCGTCTTTAAATGAAGTTTCCATGGACGATAGGTGAGCGGTTACCAAGTAGTTTGTAGTTACATCGCAACAGGTAAACCTAACTGAGAACAAAGTGAATATCTTCTAAATTATTTTGCAGAAGTATGGAATCAAGCAGCTCTAGTTGTCACAAGCATTCTTCAACCAGTGTTGAACATCCCAAGGCTATCATACACATAGATATAGACTGTTTTTATGCTCAAGTGGAAATGCTTCGAAATCCAGAACTACGATCTCAACCTGTCGGCATCCAACAAAAAAATATCGTCGTAACTAGTAACTATGAAGCTAGAAAATACGGAATAAAAAAGTGCATGGCCGTTACAGATGCTATGAAAATATGTCCAAACTTAAAGTTGGTTAATGGTGAGGACTTGCATAATTATAGAGCAGCCTCTAATAATGTATTTGCTGCGCTTCAACATTGGAAATGTCCAGTAGAAAAGTTAGGTATGGATGAAAATTTTATAGATGTCACAAATTTAGTAGAAGAGAGAATAAAAAGTGTTAAAGATGATAAAGTCACGCTTATAGGTCATGTGTATGATGAGTCCATCACAGAATGCCTGTGTGGCTGTCATTTACGTCTTAAAGCAGCTTCACAAATTGCCAAGGAGATGAGAAAGAAATTGTTTGATGAATTAGGTTTCACAACATCTGCAGGCATTGCACATAATAAGCTATTAGCTAAATTAATCTGTCCACTTCATAAACCAAACGACCAGACAACAATATTTCCAGAGCATGGAGCCAGTTTTATGTCCACAATGCAAAGTGTGCGGTCCATTCCAAGTATTGGTTCAAAAACTACTGAGGCACTCATTTCTCAAAATATTATAACGGTGAGTGACTTACAGAAAGTATCTGTAGATTTATTAAAGAAACATTTTAGTAGTGATATGGCAGTTAGACTCAAGAACCTTAGTGTAGGAGAAGATAATACTCCAGTGAAGCAAACAGGTAAACCTCAGAGCATAGGGCTAGAGGATAGTTTCAAGACTGTCAGTGTAAAAAGTGAAGTGGAAGAGAGATTTTCAGCATTATTACAAAGGCTATTGGTATTAGTTAGAGAAGATGGACGTATTCCAGTTTCACTAAGAGTGACATTACGAAAAAAAGATGTCAAGAGGCTTAGCAGTCACAGAGAATCCAGGCAGTGTCAAGTATCTCCTTCCATTTTTACTATAAACAATGGCGCTCCAACTGTCACTGAGGCTGGCCAGCAAAAACTAATGACTTTAATTATGAGATTATTCAACAAACTCATAGATTTAAGTAAACCATTCCATTTAACATTAGTAGGACTGGCTTTTACAAAGTTTCAAGAACGCATGACTGGCAGAGGTTCAATAGTGAATTACCTAATGAACGATATCTCAGTACAGTCTGTGCTAAATATTACAAATGACTGTGACACATCGGCATCTTCAATGGACTACTCGGCAGTTTCACCCAGCAGTAGTACCACAACTGACCTATCTGATGGTGAGGTGGAGCCATCACCGAAAAAGCCTAAAAAAGTTAATTGGATAGCTAAAAGAAGATGTTTATCTAAAGAGGAAGTAGCATCTCCTAGTAAATTGAAGGTAGGTGAGCTCAGACTAAACTCAAGAGAGCTAGAGAAAGTTTCTGAGCTAAGGCTTAACTCCAGAGACAGATCACTAACACCAAGAGCTAGCCCAGCCAAGGATAATTTTTCTGATACAGACACAATGAAAGATGGCTCTGAAGCTGGAAATTGTGATGATTGTCCAAGTTATGTTGATAAAGAAGTATTTAATGCCCTCCCCGATGAAATGCAGCAAGAACTGAAGGCTATGTGGAAAAATCCATCTAGTTCAGATTTGCCTAGAAGTAGTCCCAGAACAATCAATAAAGCGAAATCGAACACTATCTTGAAATATTTTGTTCCACACAAATAGTATTAGTTATATATCATGTTAATTATTATAAGTGATAAGTGAATGGTTTCTATTTTTTCAAATCATACAATTTTTATTCAGCTGATCAAATACATGTTTATGTTATAAATGTTCTTGATTTTATTTATATCCTTTTTAAGGTAAATAACAAAACAGCATTTAAATATAACTGGGCATATCATTTAATTTCTATATTTTTTATAGCTTCTGTAACCATAGACAACAGTTCATTATACTTGTGCACTCTTTGAATATTAACATGAAGTGAGTCTGCCAAATTGGTGTACGACATTACGTCAACATTGAGTTGTAGCCTGATCTTATCACCATCACTAATACCACCACTGTCATTGCTTTGTTGTGATGCATTTTCACGTATTTGCTTTAATCTTCTAAGGGACTCTTCAGTTTTCTGTACAGAGGTTAATACATCTTCTACATATTTGGAGTAGCTAAAAGATTTATTACAAATTAAATACAAGTGCAAAAATCAGCTGAAAAGATAGGGCACCAAATTTATTGTGATAGCTATATACTTACGAAGCAGTCATAACATGGAATAATGATTCATAAAGTCTTATTAAAAAGTCATTATTTAGTCTGTTTGCTGCACGATCATTAAACTCTTCAATAGCACTTGAAACCACTTCTATATATGTGCAGGGTTTAGTTGGTACACTGCGGTTAGTTTTTCTATACAACCGTGGTATGTCACTAACTTGCTTTAATTGAATGTTGAAGAAGTCAAACAGTTCATTTACAATGCATTCCTTGATTTTCATTTCAGCCTGGTGTAAACCATCTATTGAAGAATTTAAGCTTTGCCTAAGCAGTGGCTTACTCTCCACAACTGGTATTTTGCTTTCAACATGTGCTAAAAATTCTGGTAGCCTCTGCAATAATGTTTCAGTGTCTATATAAATGTTAATACTGTTTTCAATTAGGCTCTTATTTATGCTTACTGATTCAGATTTAGGCAAGGAGTATCTCTGTAACAATATGGGACATAAATCCTTTAATAAACAAATCATTCTGAAATTCAATATTTTGTGACAAAATATGACATACTAACTATTGAATAAATCTAAAATGAGTTAAACCAAAGATTAAGTGCAAACAATTAATTTCACATTTAAATTTCTTATGAATAAAACCAACCTCTGTACAAAAATTTGTTGACCATGTTGCATATCTAGATAACAATTGTAATGAGAGCTTCCAAAACTTATGGGCTAATGCTTCTATAAAGATACCATCTGACCAGCACTCATGTAGGGCAGTCCAACACTTTAATGTCTCATTCAAAATAAATCCATCTTTGTTTTCGATTGTTGGACTTCTTTTCAATGATGTTTCAAAGCTTCCTATAAGTAAATAGCTAGTAATTAAAAGTGCTTTTTTATTAGAGGAATTATTTAATCACTACTAGAGTATAGGCATATATATGAATATATGTTCACTATGAAAACAATGTTTTCATCAGTCACTCAATCCACTGCACAGAGGCCACCGCATAGATTGCCTTATAGGGTGGATACTTGCCATTGTTACCAAGATTGACAACAATTTTTTCAACCAACTTCAAAAAAAGGAGTTCTCAATTCGACTGCATTTTTTTAATGTGTGTTATGTCAGAACTTTTTATTTGACAGCTGATGCTTCTCCTGTGGTCCTATATAAATTTGATCAAGATATGACCAGTAGTTTTGAGTTATCCTTAATAATGAATACTTAATTGACTTAAACTACATTGATGTTCCCTTTTTATTTATATTGAAGGATGCACAAAATTTTTATTTTTACCACTTGTTTCTCTTATGTTTCCACTACATGGTTATTAAAAATATATACTAAAAATATATGTTACCTGCAATTTCCTGAAACCGTATCTGAAAATAAACAGGCAAATTCCACCTCCTCTGGAAACTTTTGTATTCAGCAGTTTCATGTAACATTTTAACATCTCCTTCAAGTTGGCAATACTCCTCTATTTTTTTGATAAATTGCATACTTTCACTGTATCTTCTATAAAACAATTGTGGGTTGCCAGGAGCAAAAATAGATGCCAGATTTACTTCTAACCGACTTTCTACTTCACACCAGAAACAATTTACTAGAAATCTATATTTTTTCTCAAGAAATGAAAATTTGGAATGTTGCATCACTTCAAACAGTAATTTCAATTTTGTATCCAACAATACTAAAATTTTTACATAAATACCATGTAAACCTTCCTTGCTTCTCTGTAATGCAGGCTCATTTACAATGTCCTGCAATAAGGGAGCTATAGCTTGCTTTCTTATTAATATTTCAGTTTCTTTAATACGGCCTAGTGTTGTTAAAATAACAAGAGCTTTGAGGAGATTATTTTCATCATTTTCATTCCAAAAATAAAAAACCAAATCATTTAATGTCTGTACTAACTTTTCACTAATACTATTAAACAACACCTTCTTTTCAGAAATTAATAAATTGTCACATTTAGAAAATGTGAATTTTAATTGGTTATATTGCACAGCTGTACGTTCAGCTAAAATTATTTGCTCATGTTTCTTCTTATCTGAGATGTCTTTTAGAATATTTTCCAATGTGTCTATGCCATTTAATGTTTGACTGTAGTATTTTAAGAGTTGCTTCTTTTTGAGTAGACCATGTTTTTGATTTAGCCAAATAGATAATTCCTTCATTGCATCCTCCAAACATTGTTTAACATTCTATAAAAAATACAATTCGATTTTAAACAATTAATCACACAACATAAAGCAACAGATTCAGAACATATTATTACATCAATAAAAATATTTTGTTGTAAAAATTTAGTTAACATTGAAAATGATAAAAGGAGAGAAAGAAAAGATCAGTATGGTAAAATGATTATGAGACCAACGAATACAGCTTCAAAATCATGGAATAAAATTTAAAGTTAGATGAGGCAATAAATGGCCCTATAAAAATAACTGGGAAGAAGCAATGAAAGAGGAATTTAAATCTATTGAAGAAAATAACACGGACAAGTATTCTATCTAATATAAAAGACCTATTCTGAAACAACTAAACAAATTAGAACCAACTTTTCAAATTAGATAAGATAACAGAATATCATTGTATTAACTCACAAGGATTTCTTCATTTAGTTGTTGTAATGGCACTTGAATTTTTACAATTGCCTTATCGAAGCCAATTAATGTTGCACATAGATTAACGAAATTCGCGTAATCTTTGTTAATTAACTCGATCATAGCCAGCCTTAGAACTTTTAGATACACTCCTAGGTCGTCACGCATCGTCTCCAAGGAGGCAACATTTTGATGGTCAGCTAGGAAATTATCCACTGAAAAGTTCGTCTGTAAAAATTAAAAAGATAATCCCTAAAACTACACAGAAATAAATATCTAATATTGTTTGTATAAAAAATAGTGATATGAATGAGTAATACCTTCACGAAATCATTTCGGTCAAAACAAAGACCTCGAGGAGCCGGAGGCAATGTGAAATCTATGTTAGTCTGATCCATTTTAACGGGCTAACGGCGTTACTTTATAAAGACACCATTTTAGTATAAATTCTTGTTAAATGTTTATCGAAAACTAGAAACTAGGTACTAAGTACTCCTGAACTGCTGAACTCGGCTATCGTTGGCTATCGTCAAGATTGACATTTTATTTACTGACGTAGGCTATTTTTTGTTTTTTATTTAACTGACATTACAGGTCTGGGTTCTAGCCTTTCTGAGCCTAAGACTGACATAGGCTTTGAGTATTAAGCCAAAGGAGACGCCATCGCAAGGCATACTTCTGTAAAAGGTACGAGAGTCCGACACATAACCGTTATATAAAACTAGTTGCTCCGCGTCGTGCACCATTACGCAAGTGATCGTGCCACTCAAATGTGCTCCGACAAAAATACCGAATTTTTCGTTTTCATGCAAAGACAATCAAAACCATCAAATCTGCAAAAGGGCAACGTGACTTTTCATCCGTGAATACTGTTAACATAATATTATCGTAAAAACTCGTATTTTTTGAATACTTTCGAAAGTACCAAGTGTTGCCTTGAAAGTGCCAAGCATAGTTCATGAAGTAAAAAATAAGCGATTTTAAAATAAATATAATTTACTACACAAAGTAAATTATACTAACGAAAATTAATTTCATATCAACTAAATTAGTTTGTTATGAATAATAATCATTAGATTAAGATGTGTAGTGAATTCTGTCGAATGATTTAAATATTCAGCTAAATCCCAACACGATTCTGAATATATTATAAAATTAGTGGGGGAATCAAACCAGGTATTTGCTTTATTTAACCCGTGAATTCGAATTAAAGTGGGTGGAGACTAGTATTGTGGCGTGGATAAGTTAGGCATTTAGACAAGTGTTGTAAATTATTAGGTACTGGTACGATGTGATTGTTACGCGCTCCAATGCCTCAAATCGGCGCACTAGCGCCATCTAGTCTCGAACCGAAGAACTAAACTTCTTGAAGTTTAAAACTCGAACTCTCGGTACCTTGCGCGTGTTTACTTGAACATTCTGGATATTTTGCTAATTTATATAAGTAGGCGCTGCAAGATGCGATCGGGGCAGAGTTGAACTCGGCGACACAAGCGAAGCTTCGGAGCGGAATTAAGTGAATTAGTGTGTTTAATTACTAGTGTTTTAAGTTTTAATTTGTGTAAAGTAAATTAAAGTTAAATTAGGTAATTTTATCGGCAATTTTTATGTGTCACGAACCTCAAGCTCGTAACAATTGGTGTCAGAAGTGGGATAAAATCATGCCGATTTTACCTAAGGAGGAAACGGAGGGTGTCCGTACCCGCAGTCAACGCCAGCATGAGACGGACCAGAGGAGATTTGGTGGTGCAACGCCGCAGACGTCGGAGGGCCAACTGCCAGCCACGGAGGCTGCGGGCCCGTCAGTAGCTCCTACACCTGCAGCACCTGACTTAGGTGCTCTGATGGCGATGCTACAGGAGCAGCTGCAGCGCGGACGAGAGG